CCGTCTGTCCGCACCGAGACACACGAGACACACCGTCTGTCCGCACCGAGACAGAACAGCATCTGTCCTCTGGGGACAAAGTACTCTGTCTCTAACGATCCATTAATGAACATCAGCTGATTGCTTCCAATCAATGGTTATCATATCGGCCTTTAGACGTCTGAGCCGTCAGAAGAGCCGGTGAACACAGAGACTTTAGAGACCCTCAAACTCAGACTGTCTAATAAGATAAATACCAACGGGACTGCTGCTGGGACACAGTGGACTGAATGTGTCTGTCCTTCAGATTGTGACTGTTTAGAGGCTCAGTGCTGTCAGAACCACCAGAGAGGTTCAGAGTGGGAACCCTGAACCTGAATGTAAAGGACGATGAGCTGCTGTCAGTGTCCACCTTTACACGGTAACAGTCCCTGTTAGTGCTTCTGGTCCTCAGTCAGTTCAGAGGACAGGAGAAAGTCCTATAAAGTCTTATATATTATATGTTCTGTGGCGGTTTGTCGTTGGTGTGAACTAACAAACGTCTCCGCTGTCTCTGCGTCTCGCTCCAGGTCCTCGCCAACGGTCTGGACAACAAGCTGAGAGAAGATCTGGAGAGGCTGAAGAAGATCAGGGCTCATCGTGGTCTCAGGCACTTCTGGGGGTAAGATCTGATCCAGAGTCTGTTGGTCCTCTTCACCACAGAGCACTTACATCTTTAAACACTTACATTAATCATAATGAGGCAGCAGCATCTGTCTCACATTAATCACAGACACCTGCTGTTTTCCGTTATCGTGTTTATTGTACGATGGCGTCACTTTAGTGTTTGCTGGAGGAGACTCAGTGTTCAATCTGACAGCACACAGTGGATCTTCAGGACGTTTAGTCTGATTTCTGTTAAGTTTTATATTGACGTTTCACCAACAGATGAGTTTGTTTTGTTCTTAAATTGTTACTTTCAGATGTTCTTTATTTAAACTCTCTCTCTGTTTCCTTCCAGTCTGCGTGTGCGCGGTCAGCACACCAAGACCACCGGCCGTCGCGGTCGCACCGTCGGTGTGTCCAAGAAGAAGTAAACTCCCTGCTTCCCCTCGTTTCAATAAAGCCACAGTTGATGAAATCTGTCTGTCCTCGTCGCTCTTTCACTTGGTTTCCTTCAGGCTGCTGAGAGAATCTGGTGGCATCAAACGGCCGCCAGAGAAAACACATTTAAATCAAAAGCAGTGAGTTCAGAAAACCAGAGCCAATCAAAATGTGAGACAACTAATTAAAAAAATGAACAGAATATTTCAAAATGTAGGAAACGCAAACATAATAAAATAACTTTAAAACATTTGACACCAAACATGAGATTATTGACTTTATTGTGCTGCATCGCTGACAGAAGAGTTAATTATCCAACAGAAGAAAAAGGAAATATTCATCATAAATCATTCTTAATATACAAATATTCCATAAAAACTGAGGTCAGGTAGGAAAACTTAATATGGCTGCAGGAAATATAAAGTGCATAAAGACAGAAGTGGAGCTCTCCCTGTGATTAATGCAGATTTATTAGTAATAAAACACTGTAGGAGGTAAAGAGGGTCAAACAGCTACATCTCGAGAGGCGGGAAAATAAGAACGTGTTTATTGTAAAATATAGCAGATGTATATTCACCCTGTCTTACCCCAGTGCATTCTGGGATAGGCTCTATTTCCTCCACAGCCCTTAAAGCAGAAGAAGCAGCTTGAACAAGCGACGGTGCGTTTACAGAAAGTAAGGAATGACTTTAAAGCTGAATTAAAACTATATTAATTATTCATCAGTGGCGAGACGTCCCGCACTGATCCCGTCACCACGAACGCAGCCGAGAGCTTCAGTCGTGAAATGAAAGACGGAGACGTGTCTTTATTATTCAGATTGTTTCTGCCTGAAATTAAAGACGAGTCGTGAAGTCGAACGAGATCAATAAACTGCTACGGAAGCTCATTTCTGCCAATGTGACGGGGAATAAAAAGATCCTGTAAGTAATTATAACGAGAAACTTTCTCTAAACACAGACTCAATATCACAAAGTCATTATTTTGTGATATCGAGTCTTTAAAGTTTCTCATTATAATTACTCACAGGATCTTTTTTCTCCTCAGAAATGAGCTTCTATAAACTTCAGTGAACTAAAGAGTCAGTGAAGAATAAATGTTCAGATTATTAGACTTTATTTAAAATCTTTGGTGATATTTACGGAAGCCTGTTTCTGCCGAGAGAAAATAACCTTCACGTATCGGACAGAACTTAAAATGATGAGATGCTAATTTACCCGATAATCTCAATTTTAGGCCTTAAATATGATTTTGATCCATTACAGTCTGATTTATTACCAAACGTCATTGTTTAAGAGACTCTTAATTTAATTCTTAATTTTAAATTTTATAAAAAGTCTACAGACGGTAAATAAAGCTGCCTTTGTCCTGCAGGAATATAAACTGGTCCCAAAATAAAGTAAAACAAAACAACTTATTTTCACACGTTACTTGTTTAAAGTTGTATTTTTTTTATCTTTTGAATGTGTTTTTTTGGGGAAAGATCTGTATTGATCGTGCTTTAACTACAAAACCAAGCCGATATGGAACCAATATCGATTATCCGTCACATCTTTAGTACTTTTTATTTATTTTTCTACCGTTATAGACATAAAATAGGTCTTAAATTTCATTAATAACGGTCTTAAAAAAGTCTTAAATGTAACCTGCAGAAAAAAAACCTCCCACGCAAAATTATAACTATTCTAAGAGTATCCCAGTTTAGATAGTTTGAAAATTGTTACTTAAAACGTTTAAATTTGACGACATATTTAATTGAATTTGTTATATTTCCTGTCTGAAATGTGCTTCCGTACGTATTTCCTTAATTTTACCAACTTTCCAACATTTCTATTTGTTCTTAAAAGGAATAAATAAAACTAATAAAAGTGAAACCTGCCGATCGGAGCAGCTTGAGGCCGCAGCAGCAGCAGGAGATGCACAGCTTTTAATATTTATAAGTAATAAGATAATAAAGCCAGAGGAAAGAGATCCTACTGGTCCTCCAGGTTCTGATCCCAGATCTTCAGTTCAGACGTTTACCGGCTGCTGATCTCAGGTCAGACTCTTTTGAAACGACCGTTAACGTCGGTACGTTTGGAATCGGTGAACTTCGACCTTCAGGAGGAGACGTGTGGTTGAAGCGGTGAGCGTCTCCGTCTCACGCCTCCCTCTGAGGAAGAGGAGGTGGAGGAGGAGGAGGTGGTGGTGGTGGAGGAGGAGGAGGAGACTTCTGTTGAGGCTGCGGTGCCGGTTGCTGCTGCTCCTTGGTCGGGGCGTAGTAAAGCTCCAGAGGCTTCCGGACCTTCCAGTACTTCTCGTTGACCAGCTCCAGAGTCAGAGAGCCATTCAGCGTCTGAGGGGAGACAGAGTCAGTTCACATGGAGCCGGATCCACCAGAGCTCAGACCTCAACCTACAGGGGACCTCACACAGACTGCAGACGGTTTGATTTATAGTTCATGGTTTTAAATCGTCTGTTAGATGAAACCAGATGTGGTAAAATTGTGACATTTTCTACATTAAAGAGGAGATAAATTAATCGTTCTGTTTAATTGTCTCACGTGTTCGTTAAAGGAACAGTTTGACTTAATGAAATGTGTTTGAGTTCCTGTAGAGAAACAGAAGAGGAGACTGTTCGTATGAAGCATTTTCTCCCCAAAATAATTCTTTTAACCTTTAAGCCGAGACTAAAGACTAATATTTACTATGTTAAAAGCCTCACTGATTGTTTCCTGTTAAAGGTTTTAATCTGATGTAGAAACACAACAAAATGTTTGATTCCACATAAAAATCGTGTCTTAATAAAACAGACGGAGCTGATTTTCTTCTTTAAAACATGAATGTTTTTCAGATTTGCAGTGAAACATTTGCTCTAACTCCGAAGCCCTTTCTGTCCCACTCATTTAATCTCATAGGAACACATTAGAACAGAAACACTGGACCAAGACAAACCAGCAGATCTCTTAATGGATGTAAGTCGTAACAGTAAATGTGTGTATGAAAGAGGTTAAATGTGCTAACCTTTGCTGCTGCAGAGGTGTTTACCTGGAACATAAAGAGCAACCCCAGTGACTAACTGGAGAAACCTGCGCTGCGGTGTCTGTGGACGGTAACGGGTTAAATGCTTCATCCTGTGATCGGCTGTAAGAGCGAGTCGTACTCACGGAGAACTGTCCTCCTCTCGTCATGATGTAGATGGTGTACTGTTTCTCACTGACGCTGCTCAGACTCGACCCTTCTCCACTTCCGGTCTCTCCTCCTCCTCCCTCCTCCCGTCCTCTGTCCTCCGGCTCCCCGTTGGTCTGTCCGTCCTCCAGGGCGATGCGCAGGGCGAGGTATTTAGACAGGTGGTCCACTGTGGCGTTGGCGGTCGTCTTCACAAACCTACAAAAGACGTTTGAGAATAAATCACAGGACTACGTTTCCTGTTTTTAAATTTAAACACCAGTTTTTACCAATCCCGCCACGGTTTCAGGCGTAAATCTCGGGCGCCATCCGGTCCGGCCTCACCTGGTCTGGTTGTAGTCCTGGTCGTGGACCAGCTGCGGGTGCGGTCTGAACACCAGCTCGATCTCGGAGCCCGGCCCCTCTTTGTGGCGTCTCAGCAGCGGAAGGTGTGGGGCCTGCACCTGTCCGCCTCGGGCCCCGAGCCGTCGTCGGAACGCCCGCCGGGGCGCTTGCGCTCGGCCCGGCCTCCACGAGGGCGTCTGCCGGGCGGTGAGGGGTGTGCGAGCCGGAGTCGTGAAGACCAGGTGGAGCGGGCGTCGCCGTTGTCTTCCCCGCGCGCTGAAGGTGGTGTTGTCGCTCCTCCTGAGTTGGCTTCTTCCCGGCCCCGGTGATTCCTGCAGCGAGGAAACGTGACCAAAGCAGTCCTTCTTTAACGGGAACGTTCCACATCAGACTTACTGATCATCTTTATTAAATTATTATTATGTTATTGATCTAATTATCTGTAAACCAACAGAACCCAGTGTATTCAAGAAAGGAAATCCACCAGATGTGTTCAGGTGTAAAGTCAACCAGCCCCATCAGACGTCTGCTCGGCTAAATGGTTCGAATGGAAACAGAAATCCCCTTGCCTCAAAATTATTTTCCGTAAAAATGTTTGATGATTTCACTGATTGAGTCAAATTTTCTCCAACCTGTTTGCTAACCCCAGGAGAGACAGACCCTTTAATGTTCCAATCACCGAACACCGGAGGAAGAAAACCCCATGTGTTCATATGAGGAACTTAAATCCCCCTCGAAAAGATCCCTATCTGATACGACGCTGATATCGATCTGATTACGATCTGATACGACCTGATAGGCGACCTATATATTCGACCTGAATACGAACCCTAATGATACGACCCTGATACGATCTGACGCGATCTGATAGCGACCTACAATATCGACCTGATACGATCTAATTATCGACTGATACGACCTGAATGCGATGCATGATACGATCTGATACGAACCGATATTATGACCTGTATGGCGACCCTGATAACGAATCGGAAGTAGTTTCGAGGTATCGGATTTTTGAATAATAGACTTGCAGGTCAA